TAAATATATTTTTTTTGTATATTATTATTAATTATTTATTACTAATATTAAATATATAATATTACGTTATACCTTAATTTCGTACGGTTTTTTGTTTTTCTTTTTGGTTTTCTATTTTTATTTTTAAATAACAAATTTTAATCAGTCATTTTTTATGCAATTAATTGCATATGTAATATTTTTTTTATATTTTCTTCGCTTAAAATATAGTTGGTATAGGGTGTAGCAAAAGGAATGATTAAAAATTAAATGCTGGCTATATCATACGTTTTACATTTCTTAAAGCTGGGAAGAAGTCAAGAAAAGATTTAAAATTGAACTACTGGCTTCATTTAAAGTTTAGGAGATCAAGGAGATAACTACGGAGTGAGATGAAAAACTGCAACCAATTTCAGACTGCTGTCATTTGTAAGCCACTCGTCCGACAGTTGTTAAAATTTTTCCACTGACAGTTCATTATATTGCCTACAAGCATACAAAATAATTTTGGTGAGAATTTTCCAGAACAAAAAGTTATCCGTGATGGAATTCAAGGGTGGTTGTGTGATGTCTTTATATTTGTGGCGTAGCCCGACGTCAAGGAGGTAGACGGAAGAAAATAGCAATATCAGCCGAAATGGTTCGAAAAGTAAAGAAGCCAAATCGCAGTGGTCGAAGAAGAACCCGAGTCGCAGTGGTCGAAAATGGCTCGTGAGCTGAACATATCGAAATTTTTCATTCGGCAAATATTGAAAAATGAGCTCAGGGTAAAGCCATTGAAATTCGAAAAAGTGCAAGAACTTATAACGCAACAGAAATAAAATAGACTCAAAAGAGCTAAAGAGTTCCTTGGCTTGGCCGAAATTGGTGAACTGCCGAATTTGGTTTTCTCCGTCTCCGATGAGTAAACATTCGTTGTCCAACAGTTTGTAAACAAACAAAATGATCGTATTTACTTGCAAAGAGGTCAGCTGAAAATATGCACCTTCGGTTGGCTACCAGAATTCAAGTGTCGGCCATGGTGATGACGTGGGCCGCCATAACAGCCGATGGTCGCTATCTGCTCGTATTAATCGACCGTGGCATCAGAATAAAAGCCGAATATTATCGCGAAAATATTCTGGAGGGTATATTAAAGCCTTGGGCACGCAAACATTTCGGCCGCAGACCTTGGACATTCCAACAGGACTCAGCATTAACGCACTCAGCACCCGCCACCCCAGAATGGTTACAAAATGAGGTTCCTCGCTTCACTTCCAGCCCACTATGGCCACCAAAATCTCCGGATACCAATCCGTTGGACTATTGTGTCTGGAGTATTTTGGAAAGCAAGGTTTGCATTAAAAAATACCCAAGTGTCGATCACCTCAAGCAAGCGCTTCGCCGGGAATGGGCCAAAATACCGCAGAGCAACATTCGGGCAGCGTGTGACGGTTTCATTGGCTGTTTGAAAGTCATAATTCGTGCCAAAGGTGAACAATTCGACCAAATCTAAACTTATTTTAAAATTTGGGCCAAAATATCGCAGAGTAACATTCGGGCAGCGTGTAACGGTTAATTTGGCCGTTTGAAGGCCATATTTCGTGCCAAATGTGACCAATTCGAACAAACGTAATCTTAGTCTAAAATTTGATGCTATTTCCGCCATTTTTTGCTTTCATTCAATAAAATTTAAAAAATATATATAAAAATTGTGGCGTTTGACTTTGTTACAGTTTTTTTTATTTCACCCTGTAGATGCTATGAAGTATCCTCTACATAGAATTTTATGAAAGGGTGGGTCCAAGTAAAGGCCTTTTATCAATTTCTACTTTTTCGAGAATCGTTTGCCTTTTTTGTTGCTTGAAATTTTGAAAGATAATAAACAAAATATATATTTTTTTTTAAATTTTGTACAAAAAAGTCTAAGATTAGGTATCCCATGGCGAATAACCTCATATTCGAAATGGATATTGGAAAATTCTTTAAAATGCAGAATGAAGTAAAATTCAGAATTTTTATGTTAAAAAAATGTCTAGAATTAGATATCCCATGCTGAATTACCTCATATTCGAAATGGATATTGGAAAATTCTTCAAAATATATAGTGAAGTAAAATTCACAATTTTTAATTCTATTTTTAAATTGTCCATGTAATTTTCTTCTATTTCAATCCAGTTTTATTCATTATAATTTCATTACAATATTAATTAATTGACCCCAGCGACTTAAAGGCTTTATAGGGGTGACAGGGTTTTAAATTTTTAAATTTATATTTTTAAGTTTAAAATTTTCTGTGTTCCATGATTTTTACAGCATTTTACATTTTAGCCATTTATTTTGCCACACCCTGTACCTAATTTTTGTATTTTTTTAATATATCATCAGTAACTTAAATAGTTAGTATGTGGGTTTTGTTTATCAGTTTAGTTTAGTATTATTATTTTTTTTTCCTAGTTCTTTATATTATTTTGTATTTAGTAATTGTGAATGATATATGTCGGCATGTCTGTGTGTGTGTTTTAACTTTCCATGAAAGTGGGGATGGATATATGTTGGCATATGTTGTATGTTGTGGTATATAAGAGACCTTCAATGCTAAAAAAAGTTCGAAATATTGCAATTTTGTCAAGCTGGATGAATATCTTCAAAAATGCATCAAAAGTCTAAAGCTGCAAGTACATAAGAAGCTTGAAGTCATGGCTAGGCATATTTTGTGATATTTTACAAAGGGAGTACAGAGTCGCACTAAAATCCTGCCGTCGTTGTCCATTATAACTTGACAGTAATATGCCTAGCCTTGACTTCAAGCTTTTTATGTACCTGCAGCTTAAGTCTGCCCTAAAGACCGAAAATTCATAAATCTTTCAAAACACATTCAAAGGTCAATTCAGTATTTCATGTGACTTTATGAAAAATTGTCCAAGAAAACATCATTTTTGAAGGATGATGTCGAAGGCAATAATATTCTTACATATAAAAACAAGTAAAAAAGCCGGGCCGAACTTTGAATACCCTCCACAATTTGGGGCGAATTTGATAATTTTCAAAAAAAAAAATAAATAAAATCCTTTAAAAATTCTGTTGAAATCTCAAAAATACAGAATGTAGTCTTCATATTAGGGTCTTAGCGACAAGCCATTAAAATAGTCAAATGCGAAACTTAAAAAAATGGCAATTTATATGAGGGCTATACCAAAATGTAGACTTGCACAGATAATTTTCTGTCTTAGGCTGTAGTATCCATTTCGAACTTCAAATACCAAATTTGAAAGAATTCCGGTGAATAATGTCCCTAAAATCATCAAAATACCGAATATCGGGAGGTACCTTTGTATGGGGGCTATCTCACAGACGGACAGACGTAGTCTGTCGTAGTAGTCTGTTTGTATATCAAAACCCCGCAAAAGAAAATCATTTTAAGGCATTGTGAAGCCTTGAATATTAACAAAGGATACTCAATATTTCGAGATATTTTTCACGACATTTGAAACTTTATAGAGAACTTTAAATAAATTGAGGAGTTATTGGCTTCAAAAAAAAAAAAAAAATGAGTGACGTCGACTCCTCTTTTTGGTATAGTCCCTATATTAACAGTTATATTTTCAATTAATTTCATCATGAGTTCTTGTTTGGTAAAAACGCTACTACCAAAAAAATCGTATAAATAAAAGTCCACGTTTTTCTACAACGCCTAAATGAATCAACCCATAGATTTATGTTACCGCGAGGTTCTTAAACATATTTTTCAATCGATATGGATGCATTTTTTATGTTCATAGATCTTTAAATACATTTTTGGATTAATCAAAATTCTGTGACGAATTTTCAGGTGTAAATATATAAATACGGCACCACTCACTAAACACAGTAGGACAATCAAGCTGTGCTCCTAGCATTGAATTCAAATATTGCCATATTGAAGCTAGTGAAAGAATGCTAAGCTACGTCGTCTGACCAGTGTAGTTCTTACTAGGATCACAGGTCATAAGAGACTCGTTTGTAAGGAAAAGGCAGACGAACGAGGTATAGCGGGGTCTGCCTCTGACGATCTTCCAAAGGCGTCAGTCACAACTCTAATGGGGTAGTTAAATATATATTTCAAAGAAACGTTTCAGATGGAATAACACAGAAACTTGTAAAGGATCAATTCTACAACTTCAAATACATATACAATGTTTCTGATTAGCCAAAAACGACGTATCCTGACAAGGCAAATTTCGGTTCTCACCACTGTTGTGTTGAGGCGCCTACGAATTCCACATAATGATTTCTGTCGCAGCTGCAAAAAAAAAGAAGACAAGAAACGGTTGAACACCACCTCTGATCCTGAGCTGCACAAATGCAACGAAAATTTAAAATTCTTGCTGAGAGAACCGAACCTTCTAGGGTTTCTCAATTCATTAGACTGGATAATAGCCAATATATTATAATGGAATAGATAATGTTATTACCTGGTGGTCTGTTTTTCAAAATGGTGTAAAATATGATCAAAGAAGTTGAGAAAATCGAAGTTGGTATCTGACACCAAGATCAACTAAGCAGACGTCAACAATAAGGAATGGTAGAAATATATTATAAGTGTCATTCTAATACAATGTCAAAATATACCTGTAAACACATGACATTAATACCAAAACTGGGACCTATGGTGATCATATCTATGCACACAACATAATTCAGTCTGACTTTTATTAAAAAAAATAGAGAAATTATTTGAAAACTGTGGAAAAATTCCAAAAAACAACATATATTGTGTGGAATGGTTATATGAGAAATAAAACATATTTAATATCCATATTGATGCTCAAAATCTCCAATTTGTCGGTGAGACATAAATATTTTTATCACACCCTTATGTACCCAGAGCTTTTGATGAATCAAAATATGGTTAGCATTTTACTGATCAAAAAAAAAATCTCTCAGACAAAATTCTTTTGTCTGCCATTAATCCCGAGAATTACCTTCCAAAAAAACTTTAATCATTTTCAGGTCCTCTTATATACCAAAAATGAGAATGCGGTGTAATTAGACTAGTATTTAAAACTATTTACTTACATTAAAAGTTTGGCTTTTGTTTGGAATTATTTTCTTATGCTTTTCTTTTTTGTTTTCATTCATTATCATTAGTTTACTCTTTTGATTTCTACACGCTACATGTTTTATCATTTAGCTGCTGGCATTCACTGCTCTATCATCACTCCATACGAAGGCCGATTTCTCGCTTAACGAATTTTGATCACATTCAGCTTACCTTCAGTACATTTTAGTTTTTTTCATTAGTCTATGTCATGATGATCATTTAGTGTTGTTGTGGTTGTTGTAGCACTTTACTTATTATAGGGATGATTTACATCGGGATTCCGCAGCAGCGTACTATTCTGTGAGGCAGCAATTTGTTCATGATTGCTCAGCATCTTCTCCGTTTCCTGACGACTGTTGGCCATTATGCGGCGTATTGTTGGTGCGCAGGGTGTACGTCAGAGTCGAGTATCCTGCGCATGTTCATGTCAAACTTGACCGTGGGCATTCATGTGCATCGCCTCGGCATCGGTTGGTGGCGTACCGGCACTCATCTGAGCGGTGGGATAGTACTGTAACGAGGCACAATTTAAATACTGTTTTAGTGTTAATAAAAGGTTCTTAAACATTTTTTTCGTAATTTTGTTAATTTATATGAAAATGTTTATTTAAATATTACAATTACAATAATTTTGAAGTAAAATAATGTTCTTAAAGGATAACTGTCTTCAGATTTAAAAAAATACGAAGGATAAATAATATATTTTTTTTTAATAAAAAGAAAAAAATAATAGTCCTTGATGTTTATGTTTGATTGGGCCAAAAATTATGTAACACCACGAAATATTGGTTTTCCATTAGGAAAGTATATATGGATCTTTGGAATTTGTAATCACTCTACAGGTCGCAATTATGGTCCGATCTTCACGAAATTTAGAATGGAGGTGGGGCTAGGGTCAGAATAGAACCCTATTTCTCTTGGAGATTATTGTGTAATATTTAGGGGTTGAAATGGACCAAAAACTGAAAAAAATCATGATTTTACAGTTGCTCTACAGGTCCCAATTATAGACCAATCAAAGCGGAAGTTAGCACGGGGCTAGAGCTTAGGGCTGGGCAGAAGCCTTCCAGTTTTGATGGTCATCGGGTAATATTTAGAGGGTAAAATAGACCACAACATTTGTGTTAAATAAAAGTCAAATTTTCCATTAAAGCGCGAATATTTTTAATCCCGGCGAAATAACAAATAGACGAACAGGTCAATTCTGACCGTTCGTAGATGCTGATAGTAAATATATCGGATATATATAGAGAAATATATACAATACATATATACAAAGGAAGGGGATGGATTTTCATATTTTTTTTTCGCATGCGATTTTTTCAATTTGACTTTTTTAATATTTTTTCACCTTGCAACACAGGTTGGGGATATTAGAAATACACAGGCGATATCGAAATACACAAAAGGCGAACTTCTGGCTTTTTTATGCTGATTTCGTTGACAAATAACTTTGGAAATACGGACGGGCTTCTTGCTTTTAGAGATGATTCCAAAATATTTAGGGGTTCAAATTAACCAAAAACAGAAATGTTTTTCCGATCACACAATTGAAGCCAATCGACACGCTTGTGAAGAGAGTTAAGGACAGGGAAGAACTACAACAACTAATAGCCCGACGGAGTGCAGAAATATTGGCAAATGTCCCTAGTCAAAAAATTCTAATTTGGACATAAGGGGGCCTCTAACATATTGTAGTGTTGTAGGGTATAACATAGTCGGCCCCGCAGGACTATAACCTTTGCTTACTTGTCTGTGAGCGTGAATTTTTAAAATTTTAATATTTTTAAAAAATATTTTGAAATTTTCGTGATGACCATTGAGTCGCATTCTAAGTAGATTTATGTATGTCCGTCCGACTGTTTGTCTGTCCGTGAATTTTTTGTAAACATTTATTGTCCGATTGAGATGAAATTTTTCACAAATCATTTAATTGGCTCAATTCCGAACCACATTGAAAATGGTGAGAATCGGATTCAATGTAGATATAGTTCCCATATTTGGCTTCATCTGATTTCAATTTTAATGTGCGCTATATGTGTAATATGCGTCCAAATAGAAAGAATCTCGGCATATCCGGCCGAATTCAGTCTAAAAGCAAGCATTTACAAATTTTGTGAAAATCGGTTCAGATATAGCTATTTATGTCCCTCACATTCGTAATTTGTACTCCAAAAATATGATATGAGTTACCAGATATAAATTACAGCTCCGAAATACCTCTTTAAAATTTTATGGAGAAAGGTTCAGATTTGGACATGACTCCTATACATATCTTCATGCGATTTCGGGTTCATTGTGCTTCAAATATTTCATATTTGCCCAAATGGAGTGGACTTTGACACATCCGACTGTATTCGGCCTAGAAGCAAGCACTTCAAAATTGGGTTAAAATCGGTTCAGACATGGTTATAGCTCCCATCTACATGTTTCATCGTATTTGTTATTTAAGTTTTAAGTCCCTCACATGCGCAATATGTGCTCCAAAGCAATGACAAGATATCAGATACAGCACAGAAATACCTCGGCCAAATTTTATCTCGATCGGTTCTGATTGTAATATCAGCCCAATTAGATGGATTTTTAAACATTCAACCGAATTTGTTCATTTGGTGACCGCACCGGTACCTATCTATACACAAAAAGATTATTGACATAATCGACTGACTGATTAGGAATCAACGTCCAGACAAAACGGCTGAATCCAGAATTTTGGACGAGATTCATTCTTAGTGCGTAGGCATGTAATAAGGCTGGGTTTTTGGAAACTCATACGAAAGTTACTAAAATGTACAAAAAAAAAAAAGAGCTAGAATTCTAAAATTTCGGATACGAGTCCCTGAGGGTATCAAAGGTACTAAAATGTGAATAATTTGTTTTTGACAAATGGAATGAGCTAGAATTCTGAAACTTGGAATGAGAGTCCCTGATGCAGTGCTTGGTAGTGGTACCAAAAGGTTTTTTTTTTTTTGGAAATTGGGACGTATGGGTTACACAAACCTCTTATATGTTATTATACTTAAAAAAATTGAAATCTAAATTTTGGTATGAGTATCAAGGCTGGAAAGTACATTTGATATATGAAGATGGTGTTGAAAATGTGCACTAAGTATGCGTACTATACTAAATGGTACTTAATTTGAAACAATTTGGTTTCGGGTGAACCGATGAGACTGGAATTTTGAAATTTTGTATCGGCGTCCCTGTTGGTGTTAAATTTATGATAAAGAGAGTTTTTGGAAATGTGTACTACAAGTACACAAAAAGAACTAAATAGTGCTATGTTTGGTACTGGGTGAACAGATAGTGTTTGCAATCTGAAATTTTGTATAGGTGTCGCTACTCATGTGTAGCATGGCCATATAAAGTGGTTACGAAAATGTGTACTACTACTGTACGAAATGTACTGAATGGTACATTATCTGGCATAGAGATAAAATTCTCAAATTTGATATTTTGATTACTGATGGCATATCTGAGATTCGAAGTTGGTTTGGAAATGCATCCTATATTTCTACGGAAAGTATTAAATGGTACTAAATTTTGGTATCAGGTGAAGGGATGGAGCTGGAATCTCGAAATTTGATATTGAGGTTTCTAGTGGTATTTGGAAGTTCGATATGAAGGTGGTTTTGGAAATGTGTACTCTAATTGTACGCAAAGTACTAAATTGTACTAATTTTGGTATGTGATGAAGACATAGGGTTGGAATCCTCAAATTTGATATTGATGTCTCTGTTGGTAATTGAGATCTGGTGGTCGTTTTGGAAATGAAATGTAAAATTTGTATTAAATTGGGTATGGGATGAAGGGATATAGCTAAAATCATGAAATTTGACATGGATGTAATTAATGGTATCTCTGTTTGAGATTTGGCGGTGGTTTGAGATAGGGCTGAAATGCTCTAATTTGATATTGTGAGGTCTGTTATTATCTGGAGTTCAGGTATGGAAGTGGTGTTGAAAATGTGTACTCTAATTGTTTGAAAAGTACTATATTTGGTACAATTTTGTATTGGATGAACAGATAGTGCTTAAATTAAGCATTGGATCACTGCTCATATGTGGCCTGGACATATGGAGGTGGTTTCAGAAATGTGTACTAAAATTATTCGAAAAGTGCTAAATAGTATTAAATTTGGTATTGGATGAAGAGATAGGGATGGAATCCTCAAACTTAATATTGAAGCTTTCGTTGGTATCTAGAATTAAAATATGGAGATGATTTTGGAAATGCGTCCCATATTTGTACGAAAAGTACTAAATAGTACTAATTGCTTATTTCGGATTTTATGATTCGTTTTTGTTATTTAAAACTTTGACCCTTTGTGGAGGATGCACCAGAAGGAATGGTTTGATCTCTACCATACTTATAGTATATCTTGTGCTGATTGAACTATTGAGATGTGCCAACTCTGAATGGAATCGGATATTAATTTCGCGTTCTATGAGCTTCATGGATATTCAAAAATTTTACCCTTTGTTGGGGAGGTACTTGATGGAGTGCATCCATATTGCCCATTTTCGCCCCTGACCTAGCACTAATGGAAACATTGGGATTTGTGAAGTTTGAGCAAAATCGGATTATTCTTTCTCTTTTTGTGCACTAAAATACTTTTTTTGAAAATTTCGAACTTTTGCAGTGGAGGTACTGGAAGGAGTGGACCGATATTGCCCATGTCGGAACTCGATCTAAGTTTGACAATAATATTACGATGTATCAATTGTGGATCAAATGGTATACTCCCTTCGTGAGTTAACGTGCGCACAAACCAAACAGACAGACGGGCGGACGTAAATAGCTAAATCGACTCCATATGTCCTGAAACGGATTTGTTCCAACGATACCTAGGGTCTAAAAAGGGTTATTTCGACGGGCCCGTATCAAATGACACATACGCTTTCTAGCCATATGGCTAAAGCTATTAATATTCGTTGGGTGAAGGTATAGAGCTGGAATCCCGAAATTCGATATGGTATTGAGATCTGGCGGTTGTTTAGCGAATGCATATTAAAATTGTACGACAACGACTAAAAATACTACATTTGGTTTTAGGGTAAGTGATAGAGCTAAGGTTCTGAAATTTGATATGTAGGTCACTGTGGGTTTCTAGGGTATACATATGAAGACGTTGACATAGTTTTGCATCGAAAAATTGGGTTTGGGTTCATCCATTGCATGGTTGTACGAAAATCTTCCTCTGTAAACATCAAGATGGAAGATTTTGAAGACTTTTTCATGCAAGAGGTAACAATTTTCCTATCATTTTTTCCAAAAAAGTAAAAATTTGGAAATCTGAAAAATTTTAAAATTTTTGTCGAACTGAAAAACAGGGTGCATTTTGATAGTAAAACAAGTTAAAAAGAAGTAAGATCGGCCGGGCCAAACTTTGAATACCCTCCAACATTTGGAACGAATTTGGAAATTAAAAAAAAAAATTAAATCCTTAAAAAATTCTGTTAAATTTTAAAAATACCGAATATTGCCGTTATATTGAAGTCTATACGACGTTTACCTACATAGGCCTTGTTTGTC